TGGGGCCTTTGCATTGACTTCCATTCATTTTTCATTCATTTCTATAGCCTAACCATGACCTTTATCCATAACCTAACCATTACCAGTACATACCTAACCCTAAACCTAACACATCCTCAATTCACACCTTAGTCCTAAACCTAGCCCCTAACCCACCAACGGGACTTCTTCTTATGGGGCCCGGGCTTTGGGCCCCATAAGGAGCAGTTGGTCTTCACAATGTAGTATAAGTTGGAAAAATGGGCCTCACAAAGTAGCATAAACAAGGACACACACACACACACACACACACACAAAGACAAGGATGGTGAATGGAAAAGCAAGAACCAAATCATTATTGTGACCTGATGATGAAAGGGAACTTTGAATTTGGAAGGACTTTGAATCCTCAAAGGTGCAGGAGAGTATCTGTTGACTGGAAGTTGTGTCAGTCCAAAACTAGCATCTAGAACCCAAACGTTGACAAGTAATTTGTTTTAATTGTTGCAGCTTCTAGACTTGGTGTTAGGTTAAGTTAGATGTGAGTCTATAAAATCATAATTTCCAAAAGGGGTACATTTAGGCTGTCCACACAAAAAGCATAATGGTGCTATTTCAAGAGTTTTACGCTCGGAAGTTCAATTCCCACCAAAAAATTGTTTAGGTGCTATCATTCATTTACACATTATCTTTACCCGCTTCTTCTTTTCCAAATCGCAGGGGTTACTGGTATGTCCAACAGTTACTTTGTGAAAGACAGAGTACACTCAGGACAGGTTGCAAGTTGTTTAGGGAATACCTAAAGGCCATTTCTATGTAGACACAAGGCTAAAACAAGGAATGTTTATGCTCAAATACGTTCTCCATGTGAATAGGGCCCAAAAATATAAGTGGTTTTGAAACAGATAACAAAGTAGATATTTTTCTGTTCATACCCAGATCTATCCATCTATCCATCCATCCATCCATCCATTATCTTTACACGCTTATTACATTTTGGGTCATGGGGGTCACTGGTGCCCATGTCCAGCAATCACTGTGCAAGGGGTGGGGGACACCCTGGACAGGTCTCCAGTCCATCACAGGGACACATAGAGACAAACGAGACAAACAAACATTCACTCTCTCACTCACACCTAGAGAGAATTTAGAGTTACCAATCAGCCTAACATGCATGTTTTTGGTCTGTGGGAGGAAAACACAGTACCCGGAGAAAACCCGTGCATGCACGAAGAGAACATGCAACCTACACCCAAAAGGACCCCCGGACCGGAATTTGAACCGGCAACCTTCTCTAACCAGATCTATTGTAACTTTAAACATTTTTTTTCCGTTAGAATATTTTTATTTGTTGCGAGGATTAGAACCTGAGACCAAACTAATTTACCAGCTTTTTTGTTTATTGAAAAAAACAAAAAACATACACACACACACACACACACACACAGTTGAGCTTTACGATTAATACATGTGAGCCTACTATTAATTTGTTTTCCATTAGGTCATAGACAATTGTCATAGGGTATCTGAACCCAGGACAATAAGTAACAGCTCCTATGGGCTTTTTTAGTTGCGGGTTAGGGATGTCATGAATTGGACTTGTTTTCTACAGATTCCTTCAAACCCAGTTAGATAGTGAAGAGTTTATATGGTATGTTCACTAACATGTATTCTAAACCATGTCTACTCAAGTTTCAATAGGACCCACATATGGTTGACTTACAGGGATAAATAGCACATTGCAATCAAAAGTTTTTTTTAACTTTACCATTCAGAGACATGCTCTCATTGATTGGTGTCTTGAACTGTATCAATTTTTTAGTTGTTTTGAAATCTGGCTGCAAGAAATTCAACAAAAACTTGGACAATCATAACAGAAATCAAGCAGTAAGTTTACGAAAAGAAATAAAACATTGTCCTTACATGATACATGGAGGTTTGGTCTCTGGGAGGTGAATCTCTCTGATTTGTCTGAAACAGATAGTGGGAGGGGCTTTGGCTGTGGTGGCTCCGTCTCTTGGCCCGCTTGGCCATGTCGTTGGAGCGTTTGCCTGGACGAGCTGTTTGGGAGGAGTAGTCGTCAGACCCAATCCTCTCATCCCTGCCAGACAGTCCCACGTAGCGCATCATGGAGGCATCTGGAGACAAACCATCAAACCCTTAATTGCATGCCCACTTATAGCACCAAGTAGTATGAATCTGTGATACTCTTTTTTTAATGTATTTATTGTTTTCCACTGTGTATTTATCAGAGCTAAATATGTGTTCTATATTTATTCAAAACAAAAAAAGTCCTATCATTCAAATTTATTTAGATTAGGACAAAGTTGTTTGAAAAAGACACGCAGACTTTAACCTTTAATTAGAACATGAATACAGGGTTAATGAAGTATTGTGTTATCTGTGCAATCAGCTGTAAGCAGTAACGCCATATTTTAGTCTTTTACTCTGAGCATCAATTAAAAACATAAAGACCAAGTATTCCTTAAGGGAAAATGAATAGTCTGCTGCCTTTCATGCCATAATTTTAGACTAAAATCACTTTGTGTTGAGAAACAATTGAGTTATTACCATTTAGGTCAAACATTGAAAATAACATTTTGTACAATCACATGCAATATTGCAACATCTTGTGTGATCTTGTATGATCTGTTAGCGCTAAAAGTATGTGCTACTTGTGAACAGCGGTCAGCTACTACCACATGAAGTTTTACACTCTCTGTTAAATAACAGAGTTACAGTTTATATTTTTTGTGTATGGTAAGCTCAATAAGCTGTAAACATCTAAACTGTTGTTGACTCCAAAAGTTAATCTGTTGTTCCTCTTCCGGGAAGATGGCGCCACTGTGCATGGCCTGCCCTCCACCTCTGTCTGCAGTGATCGTGTTTTTTCTGTTTTTGTCATTTTTGTAATTTTTCACCTTCAACATTGACTCACTGCTGGTTTATGAACGTCATCAACTCCCAAATCTCCGACTATCTGCCACCAGTCTCGCTTTGTTTGATCATAATGATCATAACTCTGGACCCCCTCTTGTACTCCCACCTCTGCTTGAAGACGTTCCTGTTTACCTCCGCCGTGGTATCCTGCCCGCTCGAAGACATTGCTCCAGGCGCCGTGGAAAACAAGCCGGCCATCTTGTGAGGATCAAAGCCTGCCGGGCTGTTGCTGCGGCTTCCTCTTCAACCGAGGACCACATCTTAAATCACCTGTCCTGGTGCTGCGCCGATCCACTTGAGTCCTTCTTGGTCCCACGGGTCGGGTCGTGCTTCCACAGCAGACCTGTTCACTGCGGTTGGGCTTCCGGTCGTTGGAGTCGCGGGTCGAACTCCGAAAATCTGAGACCGCTGGTCTTAACTTCATGGACAACTTCTCCTGCTGTGATTCCTACAAGGATTGCACTGATAAACTCCAGGTCTCTGGCTAATAAAACATTCATCTTGAAGGACTTTTTTTCCTCCACCGGTCTGGACTTCTTCAGCGTGACTGAGACGTGGCTCTGGCTCTCCTATGGTGAGTTCATGGCCCTGTCGGAAATTTTACCACCGGACTGTTCTTATTTTAATGCTTTGAGAACATTAGGCAAAGGTGGTGGATTATTAACTATTTTCAAAAAACAATGGAACTGCAAACTGGTACAGAACCAGCTAATTCTTTGAGCTTCGAACTGCTGTGTTTTGAGGTGGACTGTTCAAATCCTGTTTTTTCTGCTGTTATACAGGCCACCCAAATATAATAAGGACTTCATGGCTGAACTCTCTGACTTTTTAACTTGGATTCTGCTCAGATATGATCGGGTGTTGATTCTGGGAGATTTCAATATACATGTCTGTTGCCCTGAAAAGCCACTGACTCAGGACTTTTTAGATCTGATCCAGTCTCTGAATTTTGTACAGAATGTTGCAAGACCAACTCACCAGCATGGCCACACACTGGATTTAGTATTAACCTTTGGCTTATCTGTTTCTGAGTTAGAAATTGGGGATGCAATTTTCTCTGACCACAAACCCATTTCTTTCAACACTTCTTTTGTCAACAAGTTCAAACCCCATCTCCCTCCAGCAAGGCCTTGTCGAATATTTAACCCTTCCACTGCTGTGCTCTTTTCATCTGCGTTTACAAAAAATTCTCGCTCAGTCTCTGAATCCTCTTCCATCAACACCCATGAGCTAGTCACTATACATCAAGAGACCTGTGCTAAGGTGCTTGACCTAGTTGTACCATTAAAAATTAGGCATCCAAAGCGCACGCCACACCCTTGGATGAATGAGATCACTCGCGCAGCCAAACATCAATGCAGGAAAGCCGAACGTAAATGGAAGAAGGACAAACTTCACGTTTCTTTTATCATGCTAAAATCATGTTACAAACAGTACCAGGCCACTGTTAAATCAGAATATATATATATATATTTCTCCCAAATCATCGCCTCAAACAGCCACAATCCCCACGTTCTTTTCAATACCATTAACTCCATTTTAACCGTGCCTCAAGTGTGCCAAAAGGGAGGCCTCTGCAGTTACATGTGACGACTTTGCCAGTTTCTTTGTTAAAATGGTTGAGTTGATCAGGTCACTGATTCCTCACACCACAGCTGACCCCGCTGTCTTTGTCCCCTCCACATCAGTCTTTAACCAGTTTGAATCCATTTCCCTCTCATATCTAAATTATGCCATTGGTCAAATGAAACCCTCAGGTTCCCCTGCTGACCCCATTCCTGCATAGTTTTTTAAACAAGTCCTACACTCCATTGGACCCTCTGTTCTTGACATTATAAACAGCAGTATGGCTACAGGTGTAGTTCCTGACGCTTTTAAACATGCGGTGGTAACTTCTTTAATAAAAAAACCCGGACTTGACCCTTCAATCTGCTCAAACTTCAGACCCATCTCCAAACTTCCCTTTCTTTCTAAAATCCTGGAGGAAATAGTTTTCACTCTATTAAAAAAGTTCTCGGGTGGAAATTCTATTCTTGAGATCTTTCAGTCTGGCTTTAAGAAACTACACAGCACCAAAACAGCCTTAGTTAGGGTCTGCAACGACATTCTTCTGGCAAATGACTCTGGTCAGTCTGTAGTCCTAGTACTCCTTGACCTTACCGCTGCATTTGAAACTGTGGACCACAGTATCCTTTTATCCCAGCTAGAACAGTGGGTTGGGATTACTGGTGCAGCGTTAGAATGGTTCCATTCATACCTGAGAGACAGAAGTTTCTGTGTTAATTTTGCTAACACTCTATCTACTTCAGTGCCTCTTTCCTGCGAAGTCCCGCAAGGCTCCATTCTTGGACCCCTTCTGTTTTCTTTGTATCTCCTCCCCTTAGGGTCTATCCTGAGGAAACATGGTCTTTCCTTTCATTGTTATGCTGATGACTCTCAGATTTATCTGCCGTTAACACCTAACCGTTCCTCCTCCATTCGCCCTTTGTTAAAATGTCTTGATGACATCAAGACTTGGATGGCTGCAAACTTTTCGAGTTTTAATGATCAGAAGACTGAGGTCGTTGTGTTTAACCCTAGCTCTGCCACTGTCACTGATCCTGCAAACCTGGACTCCCTTCAGCCATATCTAAAACAGTCTGTTACCAATCTCGGGATAGTTTTAGACTCTGACTTTAAGTTTAATAAGCAGATAAATTCTGTTCTCGCTTTATGCTGGGGTCAGTCAGGTCTCTCTCACGTCTCCAGCTTGTCCAAAATGCTGCAGCTCGGCTACTAAGAGGAACTCGCAGGTTTGAGCACATTACTCCAGTTCTGTCCTCCCTTCACTGGCTTCCTGTGCATGTCAGAGTTGATTTCAAGATTATTCTGCTGACATTTAAGTGTGTTAATGGCCTGCACCCTCATACTTCTCCGACCTCCTTCATCTTTATACTCCTTCTCGGGCCTTGAGATCAGCAGACCAGCTGCTTTTAGCCGTACCTAAAACCAGGCTGAAGCTCAGAGGAGATCGGGCGTTTTCAGTCATGGGCCCTAAACTCTGGAATAATCTGCCCATCAACATTCAACAGGCCACCTCAGTCTCTATTTTTAAATCTCTTCTCAAAACACATCTGTACTCATTGGCATTTAACACAGGGTGATCTCATTTGGTATTTCATTGTTGATTTTTTTTTTTTTTTTCATTTAGCCTTTATTTATCCAGGTTAGTCTCATTGAGCCATGAGAACTCATTTTCAAGAGAGACCTGTTTTTAGGGAGCACATGGTGGGGTTAAGGGCCTTGCTCATGGGCCCAGAGTGGGGCGAATGAGGGTGGGGGCAAGTGTGGGTGTTTCACCTACCCCACCCACAATTTTTGATGTTGTCGGGGCCGGGGCGTGAACCGGCGATCTTCGGATCACAAGCCCACTTCTCTAACCTCTGCGCCACCACTCCCCAATGATGATTGTGTTCATCCATTTTGTTTTTACTCCCTGACATTTAACGCAAGGTGATTTGATTTAGTATTTCATTGTTTCTCATTATATTTAATTGTTTTTTATGCTTTTATTCATGTTGCTGTAATATGTTGTTATTAATATTTGATGCTGTGATCTTTTTGGTAAGCACTTTGATAACAGTTACTGTTTTAAATGTGCTATATAAATAAATGTGACTTGACTTGACTTGTTGTTGAGGTAGTCAGTCATTAGCCTACTTTCTTACCTGACAGCTTCATCTGTTCAGTGGTTCGTGATATATATTGCTAACAGACATACAGGGTTGATTCCAATGGTTAATGCCATGGATTTAATCAAATATATTGCTCAGTATGTTACGTACAAACTATGCTCAGCTATGATCACACACAAATTTAGCTCAACATCATTGCAATGGACTAAGTTATGCTAATTTGTGCTTGCTAGTACCACTTTGCTATGGTGACCATCTTGAATCAGCTTTATTTCAAAAGATAAGTTATCGAAGCACATGCAGTGAACACTTTCTGAAAGTTTTTTTAAAATCATTCAGTGATTCTTGAAATATTTTGCTAACAATACAAACAAACACCCACACACACACACATTATCACTTTACCTCAACAATTAGCAGAATGCAATAAGAAAAATGTGTGTGTCCTTTACAATTACATTTCAGGACTATTTTTTTTTTTACATTTTGGAAGTTTTATTTTAAATACTATGAGAAATACAGTA